GAGGGGAAGTAACAAGCAGATCAGCTGGGAGTCAGTGCCAAATCGACCCTTTTGGCCAAATTTAAGCAACAAAGAGGCTTAGAAGGAGTGGCCCTTAGGCAGCGGGCTTCTAGACAAGGATAATACAAAACAAAATCCAACAAAAGCAGACGACGTCTAAAAAGGTAACCTGGTTGACAGGTGAGTACTTATTAAAGTCATTTTCCATGCACTTGATTGTAAATGCCCCAGAAGGATCAGAACTATAATGACAAAAACTTAAAAGAGCCATGGTTAAAATTTTGATGGACAGTTTAACAACTAATAGAACAGTATATCAGTACCACTAACTTTTTGTTACCGTGTTTATCTAAATTTTGTATTTTAGAAGGCTTGATATACTTGAAAAAAATATATTTAATATACAGGAACCAGCAAGAGAATCACAGCTTTAATATACATATTAGTTTAGTTGTTGCTCTTGAAGTAAAACCTTAGATTTTTCTCATCAGTTGGGGAGAGAACAGTGTCAATAGCCCTAAATAGCCCAGTCACAGACACATATAGGGTACTGACTGCATTAGAATCACACAAGACAACACTTGTTTAGCCATGAGGTCATCTAGAAAATCTCACATACACCAGCTCTTAAATGAAGTTTTACTTAGTTACGACTCAGTTACCTCAGTAGTCAAAACCCTGACAAAAATCACCAGAGAACACAGGTAAATACTTATGGGGACTAAGTGTGGAGTTAGGAATGGCCCAGAATCATGGCTCAGATGTTGATAAGGGATCACATCCCAGACTGTTGACCTTAACAAATGGCTGATGACATCCAGCAGGATCCCACCAACCTGTGGTTAATGGAGTCCTCCTAAAATAACAGGCCCAACCTGGCCACCGAAGGCCAAAAATTCCCTCCGCCTGCCATGTGGAAGGAGTAGGACCAACACCTCCACTCTGTTGAGTCCACTGAAAACTGGAGGTCTTGCCCTCTGGTGCAGTGCTCCTTTTTGAATTTTTTTTTTTTTTTAATTTTGCTTTACATGAGTAAATCTGTCTCGACCCTCACATCAGTGCAGCAGCACTCCCTGTGCTCAGCTGCCTCTTGCCTCTCCGTGTTTTAATAAACTTGTTGTCTTGATAAAGTTTTGGATTAACCTGTAGCACCAAAAATTCCTGACAGTCATCTTGATAAAACAAAAACCATTTTGAAGACAGTTTTTTTGTAAATGTTACCAAGAACAATATAATATTTTTATGATAGCCTGTTGTTATGAGCTTAGAGAATTAAGTTTTATATCAGTACATTAAATTTTGACCTTACAAAACCTTTAATGTAATTTTTAGATTTTATTCAACTTAATCACTTACATAAGCATTTATAAGTGCAATCTTTTTATGACAACTTATTTTTGAGTCTCCAAGGGGGGTTTGTCTCTATCCTTTTTTTTTTAATTTAAAAGTATTTTTAACCTTTTATTTTTAAAAACCATATCCTTAATACCTTTTGTATATTTTGTGTTACTTGTTGAAAATAACTCATAAAACCTTTTAACTTAGAGCCTTATATTTGCATGAAAAAACCAGAAAGAACCTTAAAATTATTTTTTGTATAAAAACAATTTATAGAAAGCTCATTTGTTAATAGACCCATATAATAGAAGAGAGAATTAAATCCCAGGTTTTATTTACAACAGAATGAAACTGGCTAAGGTCAGTTTTTTAACTACCCAAATTTCAAGATTCCTGCTGCAAGCTGTGGACCCCGCCCTCTTTTTTGTTAACCCCAATATCTGCATCCCAATGAAATCTGATTGAAATAAGTTTGAAAACTGGTTTTCTTAAAAGTAGCAGTAGAACAGAGTATAAGTAACAATTTTTACGTTGACTATAATAAGAAGCATCCTCAAGATGTTTACATATTCCTATGTAAGAAGCTGATGCACTTTATAACAGATCTTTAAGACAAACACCCTGTTTTTTTTTGTTACCTTGAATATCACGTTAACCTTATAACAGCAGTTTAAGACCATTTTGAAGATGTTTACACACACACACACACACACGTTTTATAAATTAAGTATGCCAGGAAAAAATGTCAAGCTCACATAAGATGAGCTGGAATTCCAATAGCAAATTAAATTTTTCCCACTGTTTTAAACAAATTGGCACCCACACACACACAAAAGCCTTTTTAAACCATATCCAGAGGGTTATCTGCATCTGTTCTCTTGTGAGTCTTCCTCTTTGGAACTGAATTTTTGTTACCCATCCCTTAACCCTAACCTCAGTTGTGGCTATTTCCTGGGAAAAGCTCAACATCCCCCCTATGCCCCTCCCCCCAGAACTGGAGGTTTCTTGCATTTTACACAAAGTGCTGTCTTTTTACTTGTGTTGTTCCCCAAACTGGTCTATCTTACTGGTGAGAAAACCTGGTAGGTGTTCAACTTCCCTAATTCCTGGAGGTGTCTCACATACTTTTGCCCTTCTCCTTAAACCTGAGAGACCCAGTTTCACCCCAGACAGGGCTACTCAGGTGTCTCTGTGAGGTGATCAGGCTCCCCTTCCGCCTCCCAGAGTCAGGCCTGTTATTCAAACCCAGATTCTTACCAGTCTGATGGGAAGGGCCCCCAATTGGTTCCCAAGCCTTCTCCAGGTTCCTTTGTGCAACCCAGACTTGCTCTCCATTGCATCAGGAGAGGTGAGTTCCCTCCATTAGATCAACAGTTCTGCTGGTGCTCTCCAGATGAGCTGGAGATGCCAAGTCCCAGTGACAAGGGGATGAAAACACCAACTCCAAATCCCAGACGAGCCTCCACAAAGCTTTTCAGGAAGCAGCGTTTATTAGCGTGTAGGCAGTGGCTCAGCGGATTCACATCCAAAGACTGAGCCCCAAGAACAAAGGGTCTCACCTTACATACCCTTGCAAGCAGGTTTCAGAAGCAAAAGGCAAGGTTTAACCCATATATGGTTGCATGGGACTCTCTTGGCTACTTCACCCCCAGTGCTACGTGACCTTCTTCACATTTAGATTTTTAAGTTTTATCTCCCTGCTACTTTGTCAGAACACAGACTTGCTTGCTTCTTTTCTGGTCCTCCTCCCTGCTACATTTTCTTTTGGTGGGAGGCAGGGAGGGACTGGGGTTTGAACTCAGGGCTTCATACTTGCAAAGCAGGCATTCTGTTTGAGCCACACCTCCAGTCCATTTTTCTCTGGTTAATTTGGAGATGAGGCCTCACCAGCTATTTACCTGGGCTGTCCTTGAACTGTGATCCTCCCAATCTCAGCCTCCCAAGTAGCTAGGATTACATGTGTAAGCAACAAGCACCGCTCATCTTTCTATTAGATAATTTGTGTATTTTTTTTTCTTGTGCTAGGGATCAAATCCAGGGTCTTGGACAAATGAGGCAAGTTCTATATGCCTGAGGCCTTTTTTTTTTTTTTCACTTTAAAGATGTCTTCACTTCTGGTGTTATTCTTTTGAGATCCAGGAATTACAGATTTTTCCAGATGATGCCTGTCATCTCACTTTATTTAAGGTTTCTTAAATATTTGGGGGGAGGGGCCAGCACTGGGATTTGATGCTTGCCAGGCAGGTGTTCTATCACTTGAGCTGCTCCACTAGCCCTATTTAAGATTTCTTGATTAGCAAAGATTCTTTATTTCGATATGGTAACGATTATTAAAACTCCCTTTAGTTCGTATTTTTATGTGTAAGAGGTCCTTTCCCATAGTTGAAAACTGGGATATCAATGTGTTTCCTGGAGTTAGTTTTGAGGGACAGGATTGTCAGGGTAAAAGCATGAACTGTGAGTGCTGAGGCTTTGTGTGCGTGCGCGGGTGTGTCACTTGCTGCGTGTGTCACTTGCGTGTGTCACTTGCTAGGCAGGCGGTCCCCCGCTGGAGTCACACCCCAGCCCAGTAGTGGGACTTGTAGTTACTCTTCTCAGTTAGCCTCCCTTGACCATAAGCAGTGTGAGGAACAAGCTCAGCCCCTTCACAATGCTAGCTCCTGGCTCAGCACCCACGGCTATTTACCTACAGACACTTCTGCATGCGTCCAGATAGATACGGCCTTCAACAACCAACCACAAAGCCTTTCCAACACCCAGCACCCTTTCTCAGTGTGGTCAGCCCACGTTCAGTTTTCCTCAGTTGGCTTCAAATGTGTTCGTAAGTTTTTTGTGTCCAATGGGATCCTGACAAGGTCCATTTGTCTGCTGTCACTTGGAGGTGCGTGTCCCCTCTCAATTTTACTCCGTTTCCGTTTGCTTACTGAAGATACAGGCCATCTGTTCCATGCATGCTCCTGTATTCTGGTTGAGGGAGTTGTGTCCCTTGGTGTGGCTTAACACAAATTCCTGTAAACTGTAGTTTGCATGTTGGTTTAGTGACCATCAGGTCTATCCCCCCACACTGGGCCTCTCAACTCTGTCTAGACAACACGGTGTGGTTTTTGATCTGTCCCCATCTCAGGAATGATAGTCGTCACTGGCTCTGAGGGGTCGTTCAGTCTGATCCGTACAGCGTGAACTTCCAGGACCACCCTCCGTGACCACAGCACGGTCACGTCATACTTGGAAACTTAGTACAGTAGGGTTCCGATATGCAGCCCACATTCACGGGCCTCAGTTGTTCCACTAAGGCTCTGACAGTGTTTCCTCTGTCCACGATCCTGTTAGAGGTCATGAGAGACCGTTGGCTGTATCGTTTCCTTTGGTTCAGATCAGTCCTTCTGTGGACAGGGTGTCCTTAATAAACATTTAGTGGGCACGTTTCCCATGGCTGGGTTCCAGTGAACCATGGGAGTGCCATGGAAGCAATGTGTCCTTGGGCATCCCAGCTGTCCCCAGTGTCAACTTGTCCTGTTGCTGTTGAGAAATGGGATGGCTTGGGGCAAGGGATGTCCACCAGCTTTCCCCACTGGAAGAGCGCTTTCCCATTTCAGTTAAGAAATAACCTGTTGGTGATGTGTGAGGCTGGATGGCCTGGTCAAGCCTGTTCACACTCACCGGCTCTTCCGCTCCTTCCTCCTGTCTGTCCTCAGATCCCCCTTTTCTCAGTGAGCGCACCGGGTTCCCAGAGCACCAGTGCGCTTACATTTGCTCGTTTCTAAGAGATGCAGACAATTGCTTCAGACTCACGACCTCCTCACCATCACCATCTTCAAACTACGTCCCACCGGGGGAAGATCATCTAAGTACTGTGATAAAACTTCACTGGAGCTGGAGGTGTGGCTCAAGTGACAGAGCACCTGTCTAGCAAGGGCCAGGCGCTGAGTTCACACCACAGCACCACCAAAAATAACAACAACCCTCTCAGTTGTATCTCTTGTTTCTTTGGTGTGTTATCAATTTGATAACTGCATAGGCTTGTGATTCCATGCATTTAATATTAGAGCACCCTCTTCAAATATCACTATATTATATTTATCCAGATAAAATTTACCATTGTTTTTCAAGAGAATGAGAACACAATCCACAGACTGGAAAGAATATTTACCTAGCAAGTACAAGGTCCTGAGTTCAAACTCCAGTACACAAAAAAAATAGTGTAAAAGACAAAACTAATAAATAACTATTATACAACATCTACAAATAACTTAAAATTCAATGATAAAGAAAAGAACCCAACTTTTAAAATGGGCAAAATTGCTGGGCACTGGTGGCTCACACCTGTAATCCTAGCTGCTCAGGATGCAGAGATCAGGAGGGTTGTGGTTTGAAGCCAGCCCAGGCAGATAGTTCGCAAGACCCTATCTTGAAAATATCCGTCACAAAAAAAAAGGGCAGGCAGAGTGGTTCAAGGTGAAGGCCCTGAGTTCAAGCCCCAGTACTGCAGGAAAAAAAAAAAAAAGACAAAAATGGACCAAAGAACCAAGTAGACATCTTACCAAAGAAGACACAAATGGCAAGTCAGTATAGGAAGGATGGTCAGCCGGTCAACCTCGTATATGTGAGGCAAACACTGTGGAAACCTGCCAGCCTCATATGGGATGGGGAATTGCAAATGACAAAAAAAGAGACACCTTTACGCTGTGGGAAATCCACGGTGCTGACAGCATGGGTTGGGGGGGGGGTGGGCATGCAATGGTGCAGCCATGTCAGAAGGTGGCTTGGCAATTTCTTACAAAACTAAGCATCGTCTCACCACATAGGTTAGCAAGCACATTCTTGGTTGTTCACCAAAAAACTTGGAACCATACATCCCCACCGAATCCTCCACGTGGCTGTTTACAGCAGCTCTTTCCATACCTGTCCAAACTCTGAAGCAGCCAAGACATCTGGAAGACCAGTGAATACACGGTGGCACATTCAGAAAATGTAGTACTAGCCATGGAAGGACCCAAAGGAAACTTAAATGAACATTGTGGAATGAAAGACACCCATGTGGACGTTCAGGGAGTCCTGTTTTGTGACACTCCAACTATGACATTCCAGGAAACAGAAGCAGAAGAGTGGGCAGCTGCGGTGACTGTGACGGGACCGAGTGGGTGGAGCTCAGAGGACCCTCGCGTGGCAAAGCCATCCTGTGTGACAGTGCTGTGACAGTGTCCCATGGATGCACAGCACCACAGCCAGTCCTGACAGACATGTCAGTGGTGGGCATCAGTGTGACAAATGTGGCCTCTGCTGGGACACTGCGGTTGGGGAGGCTGCATGGGTGGGAACACGGCTCATGGGAACTCTCTACTTTGCACACAACTGTTCTGTGATCCCAAAACTGTTCTGAAAATAGTTGATCTAAGATAAGAAGTAAGATTTAAATCTGGACAAACCTGTGATAAGTACAGCCCAGGAACTGTTTGCCTGGGCTGGCTTTAAACCTTGATCCTCCTGATCTCTGCCTCCTGAGTAGCTAGGATTACAGGCGTGAGCCACCAGTACCCGGCTGAAAGTTGTGATTCTTTTGTTAAACAATTTGTAAGTAAAACTGATCCACAAAACTTGGTTTTTGTAGCACATTAAAGCCATCTCAGAAATAAATAATTGAGTTACAAGTCTCCACAATAAGCCATATGAGTAGAGATCCAGGGGTTAAAAACTTCAGTGTTTCTGTACACACCGGGAACCAGGAAATGGAAGCTTATAAACAGATGGGAATCTTCAAACGTCTGCCACTAACTTAGGCACACGGACACAGCTGCCTTACACTGTCCACACTGTCATCACGGTTCCCGTGACTCTCCTGAGTTTGCTTGTTCTATTTAGAGCAGAGAGAAAGACAGGAAAAATGGGTGCAACTGCCTCGCAGAAGGGTGCCGGGGAGAGGGGTGCACCCGGGAAAGGGCGGCTGTCTGTCTTCTCAAGAAAAGGAAACCTGTCATACGGGTTTGAATCAGGTTGTAGCTCAGCTCTGGAATGTCCCCCATGACTCCTGTGTTGACACTTGGTCCCCAGTTCCAAGGTGTGGCTTTGGGGAGGTGATGGGATCTGACCTCGGGGATGGACTAGTCCATAGAGGGGCCATAGCTTCATGAGCTGGAGACTTAGGAGGTGGGGCCTGGTTGAAGGGAGCAGGTCCTTGGGGATGTGCCATGGATGTATCTTGTCTCCAGCCTTCTGTCTGTCCGCTCTTCTCTCTCCTGAGGTGAGCAGATTGCCTCTACCTCAGGCTCCCTACCATGATGCTACGACAGAGCTGCGTCCATGGACTGAAATCTCTGAAACAGCCCAAATATTGAGTGTGTTTTTAGAAACTAAGCATTATAACGTGTGATGCGGTCACGGTATCGCGCAAACAACAAAAGGAAGCCCAGCCCATCAGTGGCCGCTCCCTGGTGACCGCTGCTCTACTTTGTTCTCCCAGACTCACCTGCTCTTGACCTTTCACAACAGTGGACGCGCACGACACGTGTCCTTTCCAGGATGGCTTCTTTCACTTAGTGTCGCGTTGTCAAGGTTCATTCGCGTTGCACCCCATGTCAGCACTAATATTTATGGCTGAATAATACTCCACCATGTGGCTACACCAGACCTTGTCTCCCTTCACCTGCTGGTGGACACTCGGGTTGTTTCTGCCTTTGGCTCTCAGGAATACCCCACCGCTGTGAGCATTTGTGCAAGGTGTGCGTGAATCCCCCTCCCTCCCCTCATCCCTTTTCCTGGTGTCTGCTCCTTCCCTGGCAACCCACGACTCCTCTGAAACCTGTCTCACCCCGTGGCCGGTTCGGTTGTGCACAGTCGCTCTCCCTGGCTTTGATGGCTGGTCTGCGGTGACACTGTCAGAGCAGGTGGCTTTGCGTCATCACACCGCCCTCTTCTCCCTGTCACGAGTGAGTGAGTCTCCTGTGCTCATCGCCAGGCCTGAGCCTTGCTGTCCTTCCCGTCCTTTGGTGGCCTGACACAGTGCCAGGTGCCCACCGGGGTCCTTTTCCCAGCTACACAGCAAGCCCTTTCAGAACCCAGCGGCAAATCCTTCATTTCAGGAAAAGCTTCTCAAAAAAGCTGCTTGTTGATAGGGCTCTGCTCCTTACCGCCTTCAGTGCCTCCTGTTCGGTTTCTGTTAGAGCTCCTGTATCTGTCCTTCATTTTTAATTCCTTTCTCCCATTTATTTATTTGGTGGGACCGGTGGGTTTGAGCTCAGGGTTTTGCACTTGCAGAGCAGGTGCTCTAAAGTTTGGGCCACACCTCTAGTCCATTCTGCTCTGATTATTATTTTGGAGATGGCGTCTCTCGAATGATTTGCCCAGATAGGCCTTGAATCTTGATCCTCCTGATTTCAGCCTCCCACGTAGCTTGGATTACAGGCACGAGCCACTGGCACCCGCCTTCTTCATTGCTTATTTTAAAAATCAGTTTAATTGAGGTGTAATTGAAGTACACTAAAATACAGATGTTTACGGTGTAGGGTTTTTGTTGGTTTGTTTTTTGAGATGGAACCCAGGGCCTCACAAATTCAAGGTAAGGGCTGTACCATCGAGCCACCCCCGCCCCAGCCACCCCCTCCAGCCATCCCCCCACACCCCCGCCACACCCCCGGCCACAGCTTTGTGTCTGACATGTGTGTTGAGTCTCACGTTCTTGAAACCTGCTTGAGAATCGAGTCGGGAGGTATTTCTGGGCCTGCATGAATTTCTAGTGCTCCTGTGAGGTCCCCCCATCTTTGACCTCCATGCCTGGGGTCCCCTTTCTCCTGTGTTCAGTCACTGTCCATTTCCATGTTCCAGACGCAGGTACTCCATTTCCTGTCTGGCTTCTGTATCAGCACAATCATTTTGTGATTCAACTCTGTCGTCATGTGTGTGTGTGTGTGCAGTGCATTCTTTTGCGTGGCTGACTAGTATTCCATGGCTAGGTCACCCTCCTCTTACCCATTCAGCTGTTGGTGATGGGTTTTCAGCTGTGCCCCACTTTGGGCTCATGATTGCAGCTGCTACGAGGGCTCGAATGCCAGTCTTCACTGCTTCCTCTTGAGGGTGGAGAGCTGGCTTGGAATGGCCTGTGGTAGCTCCTGCTTGATGCTTTAAGACAACCTTCTGTTTCCTACGGGATTTGTGCCACTCCACATCACCTGTGGCAGCATAGGAGGGAGGCCTTCTGTCAGCGAGTGGTCGTCTCTTGTTGTGGTTTTGTGTTCCTGATAATGACAGGAACATTTTTTTACATGCTTGCTGGTTATTTAAAAATATCCCTTCACAAAGTTGCCTGTCTTTTAAAAATTGGATCATCTGTTTTGTTTTTTTTTCCTGATGACACCGGGGTTTGAACTCAGGGCCTCATACTTGCTAGGCAGGCGCTCTACCGCTCGAGCCACTCCGCCAATCCGTCATTGTCGACTTTGAAGAACTCTTTCCATACTGTAAAGGACAGTTTTGGAGCTCAGTGCAGTGGCTCCTGCCTGTAATCCTAGCTACTCAGGAGGCAGAGATCCCGAGGATCATGGTTGGAGGCCAGCCCAGACAAACAGTGAGACCCCACCTCAGTCAGGAAAAGCTGGGAATAGCGGTGCACGCCTGTCATCCCTCCCCGCTAGGAGCATAAATAGGAGAATCGTGGTTGAGGCCGGCCTGGGCATAAACGCGAGACCCTATCTGAAAATTAACTGAAGCAAAAAGCGCTGGTGGAGTGGCTCAAGGGGCAGAGCGTCTGCCTAGCAAGTGTGGGGCTCTGAGTTCAAGTGCGGAGCCATACGAAAACAAGAATGATTCTTGGCACTGCTCCTTTGTGCAGTTTACCTTTTTTTTTTTTTTTTGTTCTCATTATTTAGAGAATACTTGCTTAGTTTCTGAAATCAAACCTACATAGCTAAGACCTTACATATTTAACGCAGTGTGTCACCCGTAACAACTGGGAAGAACCTAAGTTCAAGGTTTCTAGATCAGTATGGCTGTCAATTTCTGTTAATGCCAGCTCAACACGGCATTTATTTTTTCCAGTGATGACATCCAGCTCACTTTTTGTCACGGTCCATGTGTGTCACTGTCCTGAAGCATTTATGGTTTGGGATTTACATGGACCTTTTCCATATATTTTGAGTTACGTTTGCCTCTGGAAGGAGACGCAAGGGACCTTGCCATGTGGGGATCCAGTTTGCCATGTGGGGATCCGGGCAGTGTCTGCTGAGAAGAACCGTGGCCAGCTTGTCCCCGGCAGGCCGTGTTAACACAGTCCACCGGCCTCTGACGAACCAGCCCCAGGCTCCGGGATCATTGACTGCTCCTAGGTTTTTTTCTGTCGGCTCTTTTGCTGCAGAGCTGTCATTATTTTCTTTGCTGATGGCCAAATTGTGGTGTCTCCAGCCAGTGAGGCCACATCAGGTCGATCCCGAGTCTTTTCAGTGTGACTTTTGTTCTTTTAATAGTTTTTGCTTCCAGCCATGACAAGGGATCGCCTCATACTTTGTGGGTTCCAGACCCAGCACGTGAGGCTCCTGCACCCCAGCCCAGATGGCTTGGGGTCAGCCTCGGGAGCCGGGGAGGTCGCTCACCGTCTGTCGGGTTCCAGCCTGCGTGGCTGACAGAGGTAGGCAACACATTTCATTTTCTGATAGGGAAAAAGAAGCCCTCGCTTCATACCAGTGTTTCCAGTTAGAAATGAAGAGCGCCTGGTTTCTACTTGTCTCTGGTGCAAAGTTCATGGCGAATGCCGAAATCTTTGTTCATACCCACACTAATGTCATAACTTCTGCATCCCACCACGACTCCTGGTTTTATACCAGTGTCACCACTCAGGACGATGACGCTGAAGGCAGCCTGAGGCGTCTGTCTGGTGGCTCATTGCTTCGTTTGTCCACGGTCAAAATAACAGTGTTTTAAACCCGCTTGAGATAATTCTGCGTTACACAACCATCAACTAGATACCTAATTTAATTCATTCTTTTCAGGTTTTTAAACAGGGTCTCTTTTATATTTACCTTTTTTGTGGTGGCACTGGGATTTGAACTCAGGGCTTCGCACTCACAAAGTAGGTGCCCTACTGCTTGAGCCAGTCCATTTTGCTCTGGTTATTTTTGGAAATGAGGTCTCAAAAAATACCTGCCCAGGCTGGCCTCGAACTGCAATCCTTCCAATCTCAGTCTCCTAAGTAAGTAGGGTTATCAACAGGAGCCATTGGTGTCCCACTTACTTTATTTTTAGATAAAGGAGAAAAACATTTATAGTTCTAAATCCAAGGTAGACTGGTTGCATTAGCAAGTTCTGGCTTTGTTTCTGTTCCTCTGCTTTCCTGGCTTCCTCCCTCTCCTGAAGGCTACGAGTTTGATTAGACTTTGTCTTCTCCTTCACTCTTTCTTTCTCTCTAAAAAGTATTTTTCGTTGAGTGGTACCAGGGTTTGAACTCGGGCCTCACGCTTGCTAGGTAGGTGCTCTACCACTTGAGCCACTCCACCAGGCCTTTTATGTGAAGGGTTTTTTTGAGATAGGGTCTCGTGCACTACTTGCCCTGGCTGTCTTTGAACCGCGATCCTCCTGACCTCTGCCTCCTGAGTAGCTGGGATTACAAGCGTGAGCCACCGGCACCTGGCTCTTTTTAAAAATTTGTTTGAGACGGGGTCTCACTGTGTAGCCCAGGCCGGCCTTGAACTCATGATCCTCCTGCTTCAGCCTCCGTAGCGCTGGGATTCCAGGTGGGCGACAAGCCTGAGCTCACAGTTTCTTTTCCGAAGTAAAAATGTAGCAACGGTATTTTGAAAACGTCAGCACACGTGCGTGAGTGTGGCACGTGTGCACATCGTCCCTTATGCTGATGACGTCACCCTCTCTGTCCTCCCCTGGACTTTTTCTTTAGAGACCACATCCTGGACGCAGGCCGCAGCAGTGTGGGGAGGCCCTGCTCTGGCTTTCATGACTGCTTGGGGCACATTTTATATACAGTGCTCCAGGATCCCTGGAGGAACACAGCCCTGTGACGACGGTCTCGTGGGGGGGGGGTGTCAAAGGTCAAAGAGTAAAGGTGTGTGTGGTTCTGTTGAATATTGTCAAATTCCTCCTGAACGGTCCTGTCAACTTCCACTCCCACCACCAATGCATTCTGTTTAGGTCACGACATTGTTTGTTCATTTGTTTTTTGTTTTGTTTTTGGTGGGACTGGGGTTTGAACTCGGGGCTCTGCAATTGCAAAGCAGGCGCTCTACGCTTGAGCCACACTGGGGATATGTGGATGCTTGTTAGAAGTCCTGCTTCGGAGTTTTAGATTTTCATTGACCCCCAGTGAGACAGGCACGGCGCTCTGCATCCGTGTCACACGTGTGAGACGTGTGTCTACCTGCAGAGGTTCAGCACGATTTATAAACTGTTCTCAGAACACAGAAATCACCCTGTTGTTAAGTTCGTAATTCCCCAGAGCTGTTCTTTTCATGCTTCTCACTGTCCCTTTCTGACACAGTGGCAGGGCCTAACCCTTGCCGTACCCTGGGGCCAGCCTGGAGGGGAGGTGTCTGTCCTGGGAGGCGGAGGCTCTGGGTCTGTGTTTCCCATCTCCACGGCTCTGCTGTCTGAAGCGCTATGGAAACCGAGACCAGTAGCTCATTTCTGTAATCTTAGCTACTCAGGAAGCCGAGATTGGGAGGATCACAATTCGAGGTCAGCTGGGGTAAATAGCTCAAGAGACGCCCCCCACCCCAATCTCCAGAATAACCAGAGCAAAAGGGACTGGAGGTCCTGCTCGAGCGGTGTGTGTCTGCTTTATGAGTGTCTGCTTTGCAAGCCCAAAGCCCTGAGTTCAAATCCCAGCCCCACACCTCCCCCACACCCCCCCAAAAAACTACAGAAGGTGCTCATTGGGTTAACATCATCCCCCAGGGTTGGGAAAGAGGCAAAGTTTGTTGGCCAATTCTTCTTCTAGAAGTAAATCAGGGGCTGGCAGAGTGGCTCAAGTGGTAGAGCGCCTGCCTAGCAAGCGTGAGGCCCTGAGTTCAAACCCAGGACTGCCCCCCCACACACAGATACGTCAGCCAGTACTTAGTAGTGCTCAAGGCCTGCGGGATTCTAGTTCAGCAAAGCTCCTTGGCGTATGTTGCAGGAGGATCTCGTTGGCTGAGGGTATTGGTAGGAAGAGCATTCACGTGAAATGGATCGACTTAAATAAGGACCAGCATTCGAGAGCGAAGATATGACAGGTTTTATATGAAGTGCCGCGGAGCCCCTAATTGAAGCTGCGCGCGAATTCCTGGAACAACCCAAAGCGGATGGTATTAATTTGGGAGGGACATAATTTGCGCGGTACAATTATAGTTTATTCTTCAGCTCAGACTTGACTTCCACAGCATAATCCTCAAAGGAGACTGGAGAAGAAATAGTTGGGCGGCATCACCTGCCACTTCCCTCTCGGCGGGTCTAATTCCGCCCGGCTCTGCCTCTTGAAAGCTTTGGACAGTTCCCCAGTGTGACTCTCCATCCAGTGCAGCAAACGTTGCTGCTTTTGCAAGATTTGCAGTGTTTCTTAACAGGCTTTTTTTTTTTTTTTTTTTTTGGTGGGATGGAGTTTGAACTCAGGGCTTTGTGCTTGCAGAACAGGCACTCCACTGCTTGAGACGCACCTCTAGTCCAATTTGCTCTGGTACTATTTTCCCAGGCTGGCCTCAGACTCGATCCTCCCCATCTCAGCCTCCCAAGCAACTAAGGTTACAGGCATGAGCCACCAGCACCCAGCTGCTTCTTCTTCTTTTTTTTTAAACTGATTTTTACAATTCTATCCATCAGAGCGGCCAGGGTGAGTGACACTGAGATGTGTGACTCTTGGATTTGGACAGGGACAGGTGCTAGCATGGAACGGGGGAGGTGTTTGGGAGTAACTTTACCAATACTCGCTCGAGACAATGGCTTTTACCTCCTATTGCAACCTCAGTGGGAAATGTTTGGATAACAGAAACTCCTGTGTTTGACTGTGGGGCTGAGGGTGCACAGGGATTTGAACCCAGGGCCTCGCGTTTGCCTACTCCACCACTTGAGCCACACCTCCAACCCCTGCCTTTGATTCTTACAATCCTGTTAACCAGCAGAGGCCTCTCAGCCATCATGCTGGACTGTACCCTGCCCCACGAGCCTCTGAGCCACGGAGCGCCTGTGCCGTGCAGGGTGTGTGACAGGGCGGGCTCCCGACCTGTCAACCGTGCTGACGGACACGCAGCGTGGAGCTCATTTCAAAGGACTTTCTTTGCTTCTTGGAATTCAAATAGCGATTTCAGATTGCCAGGGTTTTCTTTCTTTTTTTTTAATGGTACAGGAACTGGACCCAGGGCCTCCTGAGTGCTAGGCAAGCCCTCTACCACTGAGCTGCACCCCCGGCCCCGTGTAGGGCTTTCTTTGCATTTTGGGCCACTAAAGTGGAGCAAATGCAAAGAACCTTGGAGAGGACAGGGTGTGGAATGCACGGGAACATGGCAGATTAGAAAAATGGATCCTGGAGCGCCTTCCATGAGTCAGAGCCCCTCTCTGTCTTCCGAAAGGTTCTAGCAGCAGCAGGTGGTTCCGGTGTGGGTTAAGGGACGGCGTGTCACCGACGCGCCCTAGTGTGGGTGCTAACAACAGGTAGTAAACATATGACTAGTTTTTATCACCCGTGTGCACAGTCACAGCGTCAGGTGCCTTTAACCCTAAACAAAGCTATTATTTTCCAGATTTTAGACGCTTGGGCCATGGGTTCTGAGCGGTGGCCAGGTGACACTGCAGTAGAGCCGGCTCCTAGCTAGCTCAGGCACTCTGCCGGAGTTCACTCCACACGATGGCCGTCTTGCCTTGGCCACACTAATGCTATTTACTGCTCCATGGTCACTCTGAACGCGATCCTGTGCCGAAGATGGTTTGGGGAGGCAGAAACCAGACAGTACTTTAGAGACAGAGAACAGGTGGGAAGTCGCAGGGAAAGTCCTGAGCTCCCATTCTTCCGTCCTGGGGTATGGATCTCTGACCTCTGACCTCCGACCTCCGCCGTCAGTTCTACTCAGCATCCTGGTTGCTATGGTTACCGAAAGGCTCAGGGCATCCATCCGATGCCCTCATACCGTAGTGGAAATCCCTGGGCATTTTACCACACCGGGTCAGTTACCCAGCACTAATCACCCACTTATTTATTCTTATGGAAGGAGTGAAAGAATCATTATTGTCTTTAGGTTTTATATTATGTGTATAATATAAAATAATATATAAATATATATATATAAAATGTGTTTTACAAATGGTTATGGCAGTAAAAGAACCATGAAGTGTGCTCTCGATTCCCAAATTAAACAGTCCTCATACATCTTCAGGAGAAGCTCGGTGACCTTCCCTCCTGGGTCCTGTCTGTCAGCAAACCCATTTCACCGTTCTGTGAATTTTATCGTGAAACTTCAAACACACAGAAAGTTGGGCAAACGTAGCCCTCTCCGGCGCCGCCCAGTGGCCGCAATTACAGTTGCCAGTACCACTGGTTTTCACAAAGGACGGCGTGTTAGGACACTGTCACTACAGTCTGTATGCCGGGCACAAAGAAAGGCCTCTTGACAGCCAGGAGGTTTTCAAGAGGGTAAAAAAAGCCCAGGATAAAACCAAAATTCAGCTGAATTTAGACTCCCACACTCCCAGTACACATAGGCTAAGTAAGAGAAAAACACCTTTTCCTGTAACAGCTGAATATCTACTGTCCGCAGTATAAAAAATCTGTTCATTTTGAGGAACAAATGGCATTTTGATTTATTGGGGATTTCTTAAATATAAAAGTGACCATTTTTGGTTAGACAAGAGTGAATGGCAATTATAAAAAAATTCACACGGTACGTACAAACACAAAATACCACACTCTGGGACGACACCTCTGCTGCACCCGGGCTCATCATACAAAACCTACTTCTCCTGCACTTTAAAACGTACCCTTGGGCCTGTCATCCCAGCTACTTGGGAGGCTGAGACCAGGAGGATCACAGCTCAAGGCCAGCCTGGGCAAATAGTTCTCAATACCCCTGTCTCCAAAATAGCCAGGTCAAAGTGGACTGGACGAGTGGCTCAGACGGTAGAGTGCCTGCTTTGCAAGCTGGAGGCCCTGAGTTCAAACCCCAGCCCCCCCCAAAAAAAAGTACTTCCCCTCCATCCTCCCCATCCATGTAACCAATGGCAACGGCAGTGTGTGGGGGAGTGTCATGTTTTCTCGATTACCATGCCATGTGTGCGTGCATTTAATGAGGTTTTAATTGTTTTAATTATTTGAACAGGGAACGCTTAGACGTGCACATGGCCCAGGCAGGAAGTGCCGGAGGCACCCTACCAAGCAGTCTTTCTCTCAATCTCTCTCTCTCTCTCTCAGTCTCTCTCTCTCAGTCTCTCTCTCTCTCTCTCTCTCTCTCTCTCTCTCTCTCTCTCTCGTCTCACTCCAATGCTCACGTGTCCTGCCATAGTGTGCTTACATGGGAACAAACAGAGTGTAGACTCGTCTTTTCTTACCACTTAGAACAAAAGCTAGCTCACTTAGACAACGCGCATTTGTCACACAGCAAGGTCTCGTGAAGTATGAGAATTGAGCCGCAGGCCTGGCTGCAGGTACCTTCCCAGAGTGGAGCTGCTGGGTCTCTGATCAGCCTTGAGGGAGGTTCCCTGATTGCCTCTCCCCACCGGGGGGATTGAACTCGGCCTCACGCTTGCAAGGCGTTTTAATTTGCATTTCTTCCAGCAGAGTGAGACAAGCATCTTCACTGGAGTGGATTCTTCATAAATTGTCTGCTTACATTCTTGACTTTTCTCCTTGCAAGTTGCGTTTTAGTGGCTGCCATTTCCAGGGGCTCTTTGCTTTATAGTGTTAGTTTTTTTGGGGCAGGGCTGAGGTCGATGTCAGGGCCTTGTGCTGGCTGGGCAGACACTGTCCCCTTGAGCAGCACTCCAACCCTCTCTGAGCCCTGCACTGGGCTCACTAGGGAGCACTGCAATGACTGAGGGATATTTTTTCCCCACTTTGTCATTTACCTTTTGGTTTTCATTTTAAAATCCAGCTGAATTTATCAACTTTTTAATGACTTCTGGCTTTTGATTCAGAATTAGAAAGACTATTTCCATTCCAAGGTGAGAATAAAATTTGTCACACTTTATAATTTCGCTTTTTAATGCACATCTGACATTTCGTCATCGGGGTTAATCTCAGTGCAAGGTGCAGAGTAGGGGTCCAGTGCTCTTTTCTCTTTCCCTAGTTATGCATCTGTTTCAACACCGTCACTCGAGAGCTGCACAGCTCTCTGAGGTGTCTCACTTACCTCTGCCACAGCCCACGGATTCAGGCTCTCTCAGCCCTGCACTTGCTACAGAATTACAATGGTCATTTCTTTGTCGATGACACCAGCTTTTAATGATTGGGGTTTTATAACACTTCTCTGTGTGTCTCCCTCTCTCTGTCTGCAAGCAGAGCAAGGCACGACACAAGAATCTACTGGTGGCATTTCTATTGGCAATGCGTTCTAGTCATAAATCAGCACAAGGAGGGTGACATCTTTATTGAGTCTTGGTTATGCTGTGGATTTTCCCCTAATTCTCAGGGGGAAGCCCGGACCCCTGCACCGAAGTGTGTTGCTGTGTTTGGAGACAAAGAGGTGGTGGTGACAAAGCAGGGTCCTCTTGAGTCAAATCCAGGGTGACTGATGTCCTTGTAAGAACAGGAAAGTTAGCAGGGCGCCGGGGGCTCATGCCTGTCATCCCAGCTCCTCAGGAGGCAGAGATCAGGAGGATTGTGGTTCAAAGCCAGTCCAGGCAAATAGTTCTGTGAGACCCCATCTTGAAAAAAAAAATCCAACACAAAACAGGGCTGGTGCAGTGGCTCAAGTGGCAGAGCGACTGCCTAGCAAGCCTACAACCCTGAGTTCAAACCCCAGTACTGCCAAAAAAAAAAAAGAAGAGAGAGAAAATTTGGACACAGAGAGAGACAGCAGGGGTGTGTGTGCCTGGGTGCACGGGTGGACAGAGGCTAGAGCACTAAGGTTTGCTTCACCTCGTTCCTGTATCATTTGTAGACATTTCAAGTCTCTTTGGAAGGGGGGTGCTTTAAAAAAAAAAGGAATCTTTTTTATTTAAGTGTTGTCCTCTTTTCCTATTTTTCTTTGAACATGTGAAAGCCCGTTCACTGTGCTGGTTTTCCAAGCGAGGTCACATTGTATACTTACACATGTGTGGCTTTTCTTTCTTAGCAACGAGCAGCACCCTGACTCCACATCCCCGCCAAGAGTCGGTCACCTGCTCTAACGTGCTGCTTTTGTGCTCTCCTTTCTTTTTTAAAAAGAATTTATTTTATCGATTTTACATTTACTTACCTGTGTATGCATTATTTGGGCCACCTCCCCACCCCTACCCCACCCCGTCTCTGGGCAGAACTTGTTCCACCCTCTTGTTCTCTGATTTTTGTTGAAGAAAAAATATATAAGATAAAAAGTTTGAGATGAAGACAGCTATACAGAGAGATTCCTAGCGTTGGTACCATGCACTTGTGTATTACAACCCACATTGGTTCATCTCTGCCAGTCCTTTTCACTACTTCCTGGTCCCCTTCCCATGGTGGCCTCAGCCAGTTTAAGATTACTTTACTCCCTCTTATACAGTGAGCTCATCAGCCACATTACTAAGATTCCACCTCACCCCTGTTAGAACAGCCATCATTAAAAACACCACCACCAACAGGTGTTGGCGAGGATGCGGGGAAAAAGGAACCCTCTTACACTGCTGGTGGGAATGTAAACTAGTACAACCACTCTGGAAAAAGATTTGGAGGCTACTTAAAAATCTAAACATTGATCTACCATTTGATCCAGCAATACCACTCTTGGGGATATACCCAAAAGACTGTGACACAGGTTACTCCAGAGGCACCTGCACACCCATGTTTATTGCGGCACTATTCACAATAGCCAAGTTATGGAAACAGCCAAGATGCCCCACCACTGACGAATGGATTAAGAAAATGTGGTATCTATACACAATGGAATTCTATGCAGCCATGAAGAAGAACGAAATGTTATCATTCTCTGGTAAATGGATGGAATTGCAGAACGTCATTCTGAGTGAGGTTAGCCAGGTTCTGACCTGCTCCATTTCCAACCTGGGCTGGTTCACCCCTCCTTAGGCAACCTGGTGGTCCCCCGCTCCCGGGAGGTCACCATATTGATGCCGAACTTAGTGCGGACACCCGATCGGCATAGCGCACTGCAGCCCAGAACTCCTGGACTCAAGTGATCCTCCTGCCTCAGCCTCCCGAGTAGTTAGGACTACAGGCGCGCGCCACCGTGCCCGGCAGCCAGGTTCTGAAGACCCAAAATCTCATGTTCTCCCTCATATGCGGACTTCGATCTAAAACAGATGCAGTAATACTACTGGACGCGGGTCACACGCTAAGGGGAGACCACTCACGGGAGGAATAGGGAAAGGGAAGGAAACCTAAAGCCCAGGTGTCTTTTCAGATCGTGTGAGTCTCTCGCCTTTCACCAAGCTGCTTTTTTCTTTTGTTTGTGGTGCTGAGCTTTGAACCCGGGTCTGTGCTTCCCAGGCAGGTGCTCTGCCACCTGAGGCATGCCCTACCACAATGCTTTCATCCGCTGTCTACTCAGCTCTCCACCCGCTTCTGTCTCCACAAGCCCATTCTTTCTAACGGGAGCTGGCGCCTCCTTGTTTGGAGGGACCTCATGCCATTCCTCGGACAGTGGACGACAGCCGTTCCCTCACCTCCATCTTGCCTGGCCACAGGTGTGCTTATGGACATGTGGCCACTCTCATCACCATGAGGTAGACTCAGTGAAGGCTGCCGGGTTCCCATCCCTAAACAGACCCGTTTCTGCCTGTGGGAGAACACCCTCTTCACGGCGTCCTGGCCAGCTGTTACCACTCTCGGTAGTTTTGCAAACGGCCCAGGTATAAAGTGATGTTTCATTGTTACTTAAATTAGTTTTCTCTGAGTTCGAGGAGGATGGTATAGCCTTTGATTTTAGAGAGGCCATTTAGTTCTACTTCTGTAGATTTCTTTGTTATCCTTTAAAAAATTAAGTTGTAGCCAGGCACCAGTGGCTCATGCCTGTAATCCCAGCTACTCAGGAGGCAGAGATCAACAGGATTGTTTGAAGACAGCCCAGGCAAATAGTTCATGAGACCCTATCTCAAAAAACCTATCACAGAAAAGGACTGGTGGAGTGGCTCAAACTGTAGGCCCTGAGTTCAAACCCCAATAATGCAAAAAAAAAAAAAAAATTAAGGGATAGTGTTCCCTGCCCTTCCCATAGCTGCCTCATCTGCAGAAGGAGAACTAGGGTGACATGGACCTCCCAGGAGGGTGGGGACTGGGAGAGTTGAGAAGCTGTGAGGCCTTAAAAAGAAGCAAGGATTTCTTCTACCCTTTCTTTTCCTTTTTGATTTAATTATTTTTTGTGCCTGGTCCTGGAGCTTGAACCCAGGCCCTCACACACATGGTAACCACATGCTCTATCACCAATCCACTTCATGCATTTTCTGTTGTCTGGAATTATTCAAGAAATTTATCTACTCACCTGATTTGTACCCAAGGCACAGAATGCTTGAATCAACTGGTCTTTTTGTTTTTGTTTTTTCTTCAGTTCATGGAAGACCAAATTTTATTGTCTTTTTCCCTGGGCGAGGTTTCACTGACTTATTCCAGTCAATACACTGTGTAGAGAGAGCTTATGACACCCACATCCTTGTCAGGATTAAATATTCAATATTTTTTATTTAAATTTTTCTCTTTTATAGACCTCCAAAATATTACACTTTTTTTTTTTCCCCGTGGGACTGGGGTTTGAACTCAGGACTTCGTGCTTGCAAAGCAGGCACTTTACCTCTTGAGCCACACCTCCAGTCCACTTTGCTCTGGTTGTTTTGAAGATGGGGGTCCCACAAACTATTTGCCTAGGCTGGCCTTGAACTGAGATCCTCCTGATCTCAGCCTCCCAAGTAGTTGAGAGGCACTGGCACGCAGCTCACTGGGTTTTGTTTTTTAAGTTGATTATCAACTTGGACCCATAAGCGATAGCATATGCCAGGCCGCTGAGGCTGACAAGAGTCTTCCTTCCCTTTATTCAAACTCTGAGTTATTGTCCCGTGTGGGAGCAGATGTGTGCTTCTACAGGGAAGTCACCTACGAGTCCTGGAAGGCTATTCCAGGTAGCTCAGCTTCCTTACGAATTCAGGAACCACCAGGCCAATTCCTTCAAATCTGCTCAGGTTTTTAGTGGAGTCGCATTGAATTTGCAAGAGGTAAACTGACTTTTGATGGGGTGCACAGGCAATCCGGTGAGGAAAATATGACCTTGTACCAAACAGTGGCATAAGCTTTGTGTTTCCATAGGCATAGAGCCCTTCAAACCATACTTTGCATTATATATAAAATTAACTCAAAAAGGATCATAAGATTTACTTATATGCAAAACCTAAAACTCTTAAACTTCTAGAAGAAAACAAAGACCTTCCCGATCGTGGGGGAGGCAAGTGATTCTTCCATACAACCCAACAACCATGGCCCATGACACTAAAATGATTGCTCGAGGCAGAAGTGTGTGGTAGAGGAGGCGGTTCCCCTCATGGTGGCCAGGAAGCAGAGCGAGCGTGGATCGGGTCAGGACCCCAGCCTCCCCTCAAGGACACGCGCCCAGTGACCTCACTTCCTCCGGCTACCCCTGCCTCCCAATGGCTCCACCCCAGGCTGGGGACTTCAGGCACATGGGCCTTTGGGGAGCACTTGCCCCAAACCACAGCAACCCCAAACACGAACCCCGTCCCCATCAGCAGCTCTCCAGCCCCTGCATTCATGGCTCTGTTGTCTGTCTGGATGGATTGCCTGCTCTGGACACCACGTTTAAACGTGGCCTCTGTGCAGCTTCTTTCACCCAGCACCGTGTTTATAAGAGGTCCGTACGGTGGTGGGCATCAGAACTTTATTCCTTTCCACGGCTGAGTACTGTGGTTGTGTGGGGACCACACCGTGTCTATCCATTTATCCGTCGATTAACGTTTGGGTTGTTTCTTCTTTTTGGTACTGTCAATAATGCCGCCATGAGACTTTGTACACAATTTTATTGTTTGTGTGCTTTGAGACAGTCTTGCTGCATAGTCCAGGCCAGCCTCAAACTCAGACCCTCCTGCCTCAGCCTCCTGAGTATGGGGATTACAGGCATGTGCCACCATACCCAGCCCTATGCGGTGTTTTTTGAACATCTGTTTTTACTTTTCTTGTGCACGCCCGTAGGAGTGGAGCGGTGACCGTCTAGCTCACCGAGGATTAGATGCTTCATTCCAGCCACACGAGGGCCTCACCTCCTCCACTGTTCACCAACACCCTTCAGACCTTCCCTTGTTCAGAATCAACCATTGTCCTTCTTCCAGCTGGCGGGGAGAGCAGGAGGCCGCGGGGAGATCATGTGCTCGTGCCCCAGGCTTGCCTGACCCAAAGTCAAGACCATAAAGACACCAGGCTCTGGGCCACACCGAGTGGCCGGCATCCTCTGGGCGTCTGTCCTGTGTCAATTCAACCAGAAAGACTTTTCCATCAGTCTTCTACCAAGAGTAGCTCTGACGTGTTCCCTAGGCCGAGAAGCAAAAGTCTGTTAAATAGAAATAAGGCCTCAGCAGGCGATCTTTTAAACACTTGAATTATTTATCAAATGGCACTATTTAAAGCAGTCTGAAAACGAAACCCTTGCTCACCGCGGCCTCTGGCCCCAGAAGTCCTTGCTGGCCTCAGTCTTGTCACCCAGTCCGTGTCCTGTCCTGGGAGCACCAGTGTCTGTGTGCTTCCCCTGCCTCTACCTCACCCCCTTCCTCCAAATCACCCTCCTTTTTTTTTTTTACTGGCTTAAAACAAATTCATTCTCTTATATTTCTAGAAGTCAAAACTCAGGGCGTTCCCAAGGCAGCTCCTTCTGGGGGCCACAGGGAGACCCATCCCTGTCTTTTCCGGCCCCCCAGGTGCCTCCTTCCCAGGCCGAGGCCAAGACTGAGGCCAAGGTCCTTCCTCCCCTGGCCCCTGCTTCCTTCCTCAAGGCTCTGCATCCACCTCCTGCCTCCATCCTGCCAGGCCCTGTGATTGTGAGACCTACCTGATAATCGGGGTCGTGTGCCACCTCAAGCCCCTTCATGCCACCTGGAAAATTCCTCCTGCCCGCGAGGGGAAGGATGGCAGGGGCTGAGTCAGGACTGGACCTCCGGGCCAATCTTCAGCCGGTGACAGCACAGCCAGGCTCCCACACGGACCTGCCTTGCACAGCTGTGCTATTATGACTCAGTGCCCTTGTCCTGGGGGAGCTCAGACCCCAGGCTTGGGGCCGCCTGGTTCCAGCTTTGATTCAGTCATCATCTGAGATGGATAGAGAGGTGAGAGAGAGAGAGAGAGAGAGAGAGACAGATGGACAGAGAGTGAGAGAGAGATGGGGCAGAGACTGCTAGTGCAGGGTACACACTGTCACAGATGCCTCTTGATGGGTCCTCCCCGCCCCCATCCCGTCATCACTTTGGTCACTGTCCATTTACGCACCTGGCCCTCACTTCCTAGGCACTCAGCACTCTCTGCTGAGCAGGGCCAGCTTGTCCTCAGCCATGCCAGCGAGCCGACCTCCACTTACCGCAGACACTTGCTGTCCGGCTGGACCTGTGTCCTGGGCAGGGCCACGATGCTCACCCCTTGTCCCCAGCAGGGTTGGCCCGCACTCCAGTGACAGTTCTCCATGGAGCCACGCGAGGGCACCCGCGCTCCACCGTCTGGGATCTGTTCCCCGCTGGTGACAGCAATCCCTGCAGCCTGCCAGCTCCCAGGGTCGTGGCCGGGCCTCCTTGTCAACGCTGCAATGCGGATCTGGAAGCAGTCAGGCAGGAAGGCACCTCCCGAGGAGCCTCGCTCACTTGGGCTAAGAGCTGCGGCCACCTGCGTGGCACCAAAATGGGTTCTTGTCTGTCATGTTTGGTCTTGCAGAAAGAAAAACAGTTGTCCTCTGCTCAGAAGTCCTCACGTGCTCCAAAGTGTGACAGCTCAGGGATGAAGGGCTGTGGCAGTCGTCTGAGTCATCACGAGAGGCTTGGTAGCAGAGGATGCACTTGCAGTGGGTGACCCTGGTGGAATTCTGCACAAAATGAGCTTCCAAAGTCCAGACGCCGCATACACAGTGGGAAAGACTGACAGAAAAAACAGTGCAGGGAGTGCAAATGTTGCATTTCCAGCTGGAGCCGAGGCTGTGCCTCCTGTGCTCAAGTGACTTAGATGCACTTCACATCCAGGCTGGTGGGGACACTAATTATTAAGAATGGAAAGCTGCATCCTGAAATAATTTAACACTCTAAGCCAAAATGAATGGAGCCCGTGGAGGGTCAGTCACAAAAACTGCAAAATAAAACTCAGTGGTACAAGCAGGACTTTGAGGCAGGTCTGGAGGCAGCCGTCCTTTCCTGGCAAGTGTGGGTCCGCCAGTCGCCTGGGCTCAGTTAATGCAGGTGGCTCTCATCTGAGCTGGAAAGATCCACCAGGCTCCCAGGCGGCTTTAAGGCTTCACAGCTTTGGCGAGTGCTGTCGTTTTAGGGTTTCTAAGATCTTAGAGGACATTTATGAGGTCTCAGCATTTGCAATGTGGGAGGGGTGGGATTTTAGAGCAGTCACCGGAGGCAAAGCCGTGTGCGTGTTGCTGGCGGACTTGCTCCCGCACGCTCTCCCCAGATATGGCACACCTGCCTCCTGAGCTTTGATGCACGTGAGTTGGTGAGCTCTTGTCACAGTGCAGGTAAGCCATGACTTGCCAAGAGTGTGCCCCTGGCCAGAGCTGACTGGTGCCAGTGCTGTGGTTAGCAGACCACACGTGGTGTGAAGGTGCAGCACAGGACGCGTCCAGAAGAGAGAGGCAGAGCGGCCTTGGTCCTGTTGGAGCTTAGTGTTGTAGTTTGGGAAACGGTCACACAGCTTGGGAATTCTGATGTTCAATGCTGAGACCACAGAGCACAGCGGAGGAGGCTGTGAGCCTCGGGTGGAGGCTCGGGGGGGGGGTGCACTCACAGGCGGAGGGAGGAGAACTCCAGGGAGAGGGGTCAAGTGTACACAGCCCCTTTGCAGGCCTGGGGAGAGCTGCAGATCGGGGTAAGGCTGGGGAAGGGCGAGCGTGGAAAGTTGCTGGCCACCACAGGGCGATGGTGCCGAGGCTGCCTCTGTTATGACAGAGCCCTGGTCAGGGGGGCAGTGCGGCTTAGTGGTACAGTGCTCCCTAGCACGCATGAGGCCCTGGGTCTGATCCCCAGCACAGCAAAAAGATGAAATAAAAACCCAAACCGAAGCATTTGTCTGAACAGATCACACCCACCTGCTGAGCCAGTCAGGGAAATGGAGGCCCACGTGGTCTTCACAGGGGGCAGCAGAGCCGGGGTTGGAGGTTCTGCAGTGGAATTCTGGAATGGAGGCTCTGTCCTGCAGCTAGGTCCTAGACACCTATGGAGGCTGGAGACCCCGGCCTCACACTTGTCACTCCCGCACTCACCTTGTCGCCCCTCCAGGATGGCGAGTCTCCAGGGAAGTGCTGCGTCTGGAGCGCCCTGGGCTCAGCTGGAGCAGATGCAGCCCCTTGCGACAGACAGCGATCCCCTCCCGCCCCGCTGCAGGACCCCCAGCCGATGCACAGACAGCTCACCAGATGCTAAAGGTGATTAAGTCCTGAATTAGCCATGAGGCGGGGCGGCGGGGTGATTTGGGGGACAGGTGGCCAAATTTATTGAGTGTGCTGTGGATTCATCCACTCCCCGGACATTGGTGGCTGTGACCGGCTCTGCGATTCTCCCCACTTCCTGCACTCAGAGAAGAGAGCTGGTGGCAGAGGGACAAAAACACTCTCCAGTGAACCAGGAGACGCCAGTGGTCAGTTTTGGAATTGTAAAGGGAGCCATGAGAGTCGGGCCGAGGATCACTTTTTTCTCGTATTTGTTTAGGCAGAGGGTCAGCCAGTGTCCAGAGATGGCCCAGAAGTTCAGTAGGCCGACTGCCACATTAACATCTCTGCTATGTGGGCTCCTGGCACCTGAAAACAACTTTTTTTTTTTTTGGTGGGACTGGGACTTGAACTTAGGGCTTTGCACTTCCAAAGCAGGCACTCTACCACTTGAGCCCATACCGCCAGTCCGTTTTGCTGAGGTTATTTTGGGTCTTGTGAACGATCTGCCCAGGCTGGGCTCGAGCCTCTGTCTTCCCAATGTCTGCCTCTCAAGGATGACAGGTGTGAGCCACCATTGCCTGGCTTGAAAACAGTATTTTTCACACATCGAGTCACTCCACCAGCGATTTTTTGTAATTTTTTTTTTTTTTAAGATGGGGTCTCTGGAGCTATTTGCCTGAACTGGCTTCGAACTGTGATCCTCCTGATCTCTGCCTCCTGAGCTAGGGTTACAGGCGTGAGCCACAGGCACCCGGCAAAAAACAAATCTTGTATCGCCCTCTGCTGGAATTGGAGTGACCAACTGCCACGGACTTTAGCTCCCAGGAGTGGACCAGGTGCCACCAGAAATACCAGCCCTGTCAGCTATCCAAACCCTTTGACTAGGCCCTGCCGAGTGTTCTCTGGGGAATGGCCACTGAGGGTGTTTTGTGCCCTCTCAGTCCGTGGTCCACCTGTGGGAGGCTTGGGGTGGTGGGCAGGTGGCATTTGCCCTGGCTTCCTCTCTGTCCTGAGCACAGGTTCGACCATCTGGTGCCTGGTCAGGTGTAGTGGTCTCACCAAGCAGTGAGGTGTGGCCCATGGGGTGTGAGAAGAAGACGTAAAAATATTTCCCACACCTCACCAGTGTTGCCTTTTCCGTTCCTCTGGCTCCGTGCACGTTGGTAAAGCCACCCAGAGAGTCACATGTTGCAAATGGAGGGAAGGAACTTGGTCCCTAAGTCATCATGAGGGAGGCTGTGGCTCCCTGGGACCCCCTGGGGTCTAAGTGCAGCAGGAACAAGCATCTATGCTACATGGGCGGCAGTGTTTGGGGACTTCTGTGTCACACTGGTCGGGACTGCAGGAATAAGGAGGCCCATCCGACACGGGGAAGTCGTCCATACTGGCCCCTGGGCTCCGGCGTTGGCAGTATGTCCCAAGAGTTCTCCTAGGTCCCTCGTGACGTGAGTCTTCCAAGTGGCGGTCCGTCCCGCTTGGCGGGCGTCTCTGCCGGGAGTCACCCGGCCTCCCGTGGAGTCGGGTTTTATCACTTACGCTCCAGATATGAGGTCGCCCTTGGAGCCTGGCACAGCCCTCAGGACCCTTGCCTGCCAGAGAGTGTTGTGTGGCCAAAGGATGACCGGACTGGCGTGTTTGGACGGCTGTAAATTCGTGAGACATGTCCACGGAGCGCTTGCCACGGGTGTGGCTGCCTGGCCGCTGCGTCACATCTGGCTGGGGAGGTGGGGGTGGCCGGCTTGGCTGAGAACGCACAAAGTACGCGCAGACATTTTTCCCCACTGATATCAAGGGCATTACTCAGGAATCACAGCGCTGGGACGACTCTGGCTTTCTTAGGCAAAAAGGGAAGGTTTGAAAGGATGCTGGAGGTCCCAAATGGTGTGAGGCTGGAGCCTCAGGCTTCGTAAACAGAACAGGCTGGACAGCAGCGGGCCCCGCCATGGCCAGGCTGGGAGGACAGATGGCCCGTCGCTCACTGGGGCTTCACAAGGGTGGAAAGCACAGAGCCCAGTCAGAGGCTCACCCGAGGGGCCAAGGTCGGGGAAGGGAGGCTCTGCTTCCTGTCTGCTCCCAGAGTAGGCGCATATGGTAGCGGTGTCCTCTGAGGACACTGGGGCTGAGGCGGGTGCTCTTGGGCAATGGCTGTCCTTCCACAGGGAGTTTCAGGGGTCCAGGCTCTTCTAGCTAGGGATCCATGGAGGCTCAGAGTCTTTTTCCTCCAAGCAGGAAGGTAGGAGCCAGGCTCTTGAGTGTGTGGCACACGCCCCGGCTCAGAGTGGGAAGTGTGGGCAGGTGGGTGACACATGGCCTTTGTTCAGGTGCCCAGCCCTGACAACCGGGGATGCATAGAAGCAGGAGGTGTTGTGTGTAGGAGCGGAGGGAGGGAGGCTGTCTACCTCTGGGCCAGGTGACAATTGCTCCAGGGCCAGCAGGAATGTGGTGGACTGTGGAAGTGTCTGCTGAGCAGTCTTTCTCAACAGGCATTTTGCAGAAGTGACCTCACAAAACCCCGACCCCACACCGTTCTTTCCATCTCACAAAGGGAAAGCTCGGCTAGCAGGTGACAGGCTGAGGGGTTTTGGTTTTTTGTTTTCTCACCTATGCAGTAACAGAGCTAGGATTCACACCTGGGTCTTGGCTGTTCCCCCCTCCCTCCCTCCCTCCCTCCTTCCCTTCATCCCTCCCTCACTTCCTCCCTCCCTCCCTCCCTCCTTCCTTTCTCCGTGTGGAGGTGGAATCCAGGCCTCACCCTCAGTGGGCAAGGGTTCACCAGTGAGCCACACTGCACTCTGCAGAAGTCATCTACTCCAAAGCCCTGCCTCGCTGGATTCCAGACTCCAACTTAAGGATCCCAAATTCAACTAATCTACAATTTGGATCGGGAGAATCCACAGGGGGTCAAAGTGAGCTGCAGGGGTCCAGGCTGAGTTTCTTGGTGGAGAGCAATTATGGGGAACCCTGAATGGGAGGCGAAGCCAGAGAGGCAGGAGGAGGGAGGAGGGTGGGGAGCAAGCTGACTCTAGTGAGAGAAGTTATTATCATCAAATATTTCCCTAATTGCAAAAAAATTAAGGGGCTGAGGGATGCCAAGAAAATAAAGTACAAGTGTCCTAGGCGTTGGCTTTTTTGGCAAAGCAAATTTGCCTGTAATCACTTTTAAAAAGATATAAAAGGAATTGCCTCCCAAAATGTGATGGCTTAAGCCTGCCTTTTATCTGTTTCTTCAAAAACATTGCATTTTGAAGGGAGCCATATTAACCAAAGACGGTGAATTTGTCTGGTAATGACTTTCTATTATAAATCTAAGCAACACTTAACACCACCAGGGAATGCAAAATTACCAGGAGAGCAGAACACAGAAATCATTTTCTCTGAGTTGGAAGTTCTGTTTGCCTAGTTGAAAACAAATGTCGCAAGGTTCACAGAACACCATTTTGTAGTCCTTAGTGAGATTTTTGGGGTGATGGCTGTAAAGCCCCCACATCCCCACTGATCAGAAGGTCTTATGAAAAGCACTGACTGACAAACACGGGTTCGGCCATTGTCACCTTTAATAACAGTTGTTTAATACTGAGCGGGCATCGGCGATGGAGCCGTCTCTCTTGCTGTTGGTATTTAAATATCTCTGATGGTCTTTGCTGTGCTGTGGTCTGAGTGTTTATGTCACCTCCAATGTCATGTTGAAATCCTTATCCCCAGGCCATGGTGGCAGGAGGTGGGGGTCTCATGATTGGCATGAGTGCTTTTATTATTTTTTAAAATTATTTTATTTCTGTTGTACTGGGGGTACATAGTGACATTTACAAAAGTTCTTACAATATATCATAATTGAATTCACCCCTCTATCATCCATTAGTGCTCTTACAAAAGAAGCCAGAGAGCTGCCTCAACCTCCCACCACCCCGTGAGGACACAGAAAGCAGGCATCATCTGTAAACAGGAAGCAGCCCTCGATGACACCAAGCGAACTGGCACCTTGACCTTGGACGTCCTCCAGGACTGTGGGCAGTGCATATCAGTCATTCCCACTTTTGTGGTATTTTGTGATTGCAGTCCAAATGGACTAAGATAACTTTTAACCCATTTGGTATTATTTTGTCAAATTCTTTTGTAAATTTTTCAGTATCTTTACAAGGATTGAAAACTGGTAACCCCTAGGCCCAATGTGGTCTGCATACTATTTTTAGAATATTCAGTTGTCAATGTTGCAAAATCAAGAGGTTTTACACAAAATTTGAAATCGCTAGCTTTTCCGCAAAACTCACAGACACAGGAAAAACTTGCAAAATGGAGTCCCCCAGTTCTCCCTGCAGGGACAATACAGTTCCCAGCCCCATCCAGGGATATGCAGTCCCAGAGTGGGTCAGGACCCTCTGTGCCCAGTTCTCTGCAGCAGGAAAGGTTAGTGCAGCACCTGCCCAGTCCCCAGCGACCTCAGAAAGAGGGCAGAAACCTCCAGGACCTCGACAACAGGCAGTCGTTCTGGGCGGGCGTGTGTTACGTGCACAGTGGGGAAACGCGGTGGTTTTCGTTTGCATTTTCCTTAGGACTAACGAGGTTGCTTTCTTGCTTCTTGGCCATTTGTTCTCTTCTTCTATGAGGTGCTTTTGTCCCGAAGTGGCTCCACGCCCTGAGTTTCCCAGTGGCTTCCTGTACCCCTGCAGGGACACAGAACAGCCTCTGTCCTTAGAAGTCTAACTGCAGCTCCCTGGCAACCCAGCCAGGAGCCAGAGGGTAAGAGGTCCTCATTGATCGCACCGGGGGCATCGTCAGCTCTTGCACACAGAGCACACAGAAAGACAAGATCAAGGGTTGTATCTGTTGGCTCAGAGTCTGGAGGGAGGGAAGAGGAGAAGATCCTCCCAGCACCAGGAGCAATCATTCGAGGGGGATAGGGACAGGTGGGGACAGTGTATAAAGGTGGCCCGGGTGTTATCCCACCCAGGTATGACGCCAGGTGTCAGATGCAGCTCTTCCTAGAACTCTGATCCATGAAGCAGACAGGGTATCCACCACCCCCTCTGCTGTTGTGTGGTCCTTCTTCGTGATCTGTACAGAGGACAGAGGCTTCAGGTCCTCTTCTAGTCACATACCTCACTTGTGGCCTCCTCTCTTGTTCATGCGGCTTCATTTTGCAAGCTCAGGAAGACTGTGACATCTCAGGGTCTAAAATCATCCCTGGCGTTGCCATGTCCTTGCCAGCACCAGTGTGGGACCACCACCATCCCGGAGCTCCTTGCTGCCTGATGACTGACTCCAAGTGCCAACTCAGCCAGACAAGGTACGCCTCGTGGTTTTCAAACACAGGCTAGTTTCCTCCTGAAGGAGGTGGCTGGCGCTTCCCACAGGGCCGAGGATGCTCCTCCAGACACACAGCATCCACAGCGTCGAGGGACCTCCTGCCAAACACCGAGGGGAGTCGAGGCTGCTCAGGGCCTTCCTCCAGCTGCCATCTCCTAACAGGTCGGGAGTGGTCCCTGTCTTCTGTTCTGAGTGGTGGTGAGGTTCCCTGGCGGGCAGTTCGTGTCTCTCTGTGGCTTTCATTCAAATCCTTAAATGTTGAGTTTGGAAAGGCAAAAGATGAGGGAAGACTACGTAATAAAAAGCAGAACTGGAAGCTGCTTTCTTAGCATGAGAGGCCTTATGTGTGCCAAACCTTTATAAAAGGAGCCTAATTTCTCAAGCGTTGGGCGGACACATTTTTGTACAGATGTCAGCGCACACGAGGCTAGAGCTCGCTGGCTCCTGGCCCTCTCTCCGCTCTCCAGGGGAGCACTCCCTTCTGAGTCTACGGCCTGAGCTTCCAGAACCTCCCAGAACCTTCACACGCAGGAATCGCTCGAGTGTGTGCTTTACACCAGTGGCGCCCCACTGTAGCAATGGTTCTCTAGCTCTGCTTCTCGTGCTGCGTGTCTGGGAGATCACCCACGGCGGTGCCTGGAGGTCTTCTGGCATCGTTCGCCTCACGGCCTATGAGGCACCTGCTTCAGTGACACTCTGAAGGACTGGGGGGACTCCAGGAGCTGTGAACCCACAAAGTTCGACAGCTTGCTTCTACTACCTAGGAAGGAGCGTCTTGGGCCTCTCTGGGATCCCTAGGACCCCGGTGTCCTCTGCACCACTCTGCAGCAAGCCAGGCTCCTCTCTGGGGAAAGAATGTCAGCTTCCTCCCGCAGGGCCCCTTTCTTCTGCATATTCATTTGTTTGAGTCAATGAGTTACTATTCTCTGTCCCACTCCTGGAACACTAAAATGAAAACAGTCCCTTCTCCAGAAGGGATCGGATCAGAACGTGGTCCTGACGACATAATTGCAAAGATTCAGCGAGGGGGCTAAGCCCAGAGGTGACAATGTCTTTCTTCGATGAAGAAAGGATCTGAGAAAAAGGTGGAGCCCAGTGACAGGATGGTACCGGATTCCCTGGACTCAGCCGTGCCTCGTAGTCAGTTCCCACCGGCCTTTCCCTCCGTGGAACAACCTGTCTCCCTTTTGCTTTCATGACACAGGTCAGCCACAGCTAGGGCCACAGCCGGCAGGGCCCATCGCTTGGATCACATCTCTCTCTCTCTCTCTCTCTCTCTCTCTCTCTAGCATCAGCATCCTCTGCTGTTTTCCTGCGCTGCCTCTCTTTACTGTTTACTCCCAGCCTTGCAAGAGACCAAAGTCCACAGTCTTAACTCACAGCTTGTCCGGCTGCATGGATACCTCTCTGCGTGCTTGTTAGTAAACACCTGGCCTGGGTAACTCGGCAAAAGTAACCTTAGAGGTGATTTTTCTTCGTGCTGCCATACGTAACCTGTGTGGCCACACATTTTGCCATCGTTTTAACTCAAATGTACAGGAAAAGTGACACACAGAGAAATTCAGCTGCCTCCTCCTACGTTCGTCTTCTTGTCTGTGTTCGCCATCCCTGAGTTCTGCCAAAAGTTCACGACTACCTGTCCCGACCTCACCGTGTCTCCCCCGGTCACTGACTTGTCTCCTCGGTCCACAGGGATGGGAATTCTTTGTAAAGAGCCTCAGAGTTTACATCAGGCAGAGCGAATGTGAGGAGTTCTCTCTCTCTCTCTCTCTCTCTCTCTCTCTCTCTTCTTTCTCTCTCTCTCTCTCTCGATGGGAGGAGTGCCGCTGGGTGTAATGTCACCAATTTCCACGCATCGTTGTCATGGCTGGTGAGAAAGAACGACTGTTGAGGCCGCACGCAGAGCTGGGACAAGAGGGTTTGTTCCACGGGTTAAAGAAAGAAGTCTTCTCTTAGAAGGACGAGGCCGGGAAGGCGTCCAAAGTCTGAATTGTCGCACAGGAAATAATTATCAAAGCTTAAAATAATCCTCTCGTGAACGCAAGCCCAAGGGCATCTCTGAGACGCTTGTGTGTGTATGTGTGCGTGGGTGCGTGTGCCTACCCATGTGTGCACACGTGTGTGTGCGTGCGTGGTGTGTGTGTGCACGTGTGTACACGTGTGTGCTGGGGAGGGATTGAGTTAAAGGCGAGCCCAGGCGCCGTGTGTGGCGTTCAAAAGTGAGTGTTTTCACACTATTAGGCCACGAGAGCAGGGAAGTGAAAAGCTTTACAAATGGGCATTTCTTTTTTGGGAAAGCGCTTTTCTTCCTTCTGGGATGTTTGGCGTGGGTTAGAGCTTGGGGTCAGGCTCTCTGGGTGTGGAACTTTACTCCCCACTCGCAAACTCCTCTGGGGACCTTTCTTTACCTTTCCGGGCTTCGGTTTCTGTAAAGAAGGCGTTCGTTAGGAAGAACACGCGCCTCATCAGGATTGCCGTGAGGGATGGAGGAATTGCCGCCTGCGAGCGCTCAGAACACGGTCCCCATGCGGTCACCGCTCTGTCAGCCTTGGCTACAAGGTGGAGGGTGACGCGGGCACCGTGGTCTCCAGTGAGATGAAGATGGTGCCCTTTTCTATCAAGACTCTGCACTGTCTGCTCATCCACCGGGTGGAAGACCCGGTCAAGCTCAGAGACAAAAAATCTAAATATTCTGGCGGTTAACAGTGTCACAAGGGCCACAGCTTCGGGTGCAGGGTGTCGTCTTCCACAGTGAACTGAAACTTCACCTCCCCAGGCGTCCTGAGGGTCATGGGGTTCTCAGATGCTCAGCTCAGCAGGCAAATGGCTCCAAGGTTATTTTCCTCCTGAAGGGAAAACACGATTGGTTACGGACACGGTGCCACAAGCAAGGTTATTTTTCTCACTTATCTACCCGCTGTCCCAATAGGTCTGAACGTGTGCCGCTGGGTGCCAAACCTGCCAGTTTGCTTTTCTGGCTTAGAATCACATGTACAAGGGAAGGAAAGAAATCGATTATTCCTGCTGTTGTAGGAGTAACCCAATAAAGGGACAGAGAACAGGACACGTGAAGGAAACCGTGCCTCCCGCCTATTAATATTAATAACTGCAATTGGCAAATTTAAGGCAACGTGGACGGTCTCCTGCTCAGGATTCAGGGCTCAGGAAATGTGATCACCCGTGATTGCATAAATAGTGTATTTTTCTCTACGACGCAGAACGACTTGGAATTGCTAAGTGCGAGGCAAACAGATGAGGTCAGCTCCCTGGTTCCAAAATTCTTCACATTCTCAGATACGTTCTGCAGTGTGGTTTATAGACATCCAAGAGTTAGGGCAGGGAAATGGACAGCCTTGACCGTGTAGGTGTCTAAATGGAGATTGTGTGAGTCTGGAATACGCAGAGAAAATCAAGCCATCCTCAGGGAAGGCTGTTTCCAAAGTGGACAGCGTGGAACCCCCACCAGCCCAGCATCCCGGGTTCAGCCTCGTTTTTGTTCCCTTTCCAGTGGGGCAGTGCCACTTGTTCCTTTATATTTCAGTACAATGTGACATAACCCGGCTCCTCTGGGATCGTTGAGTGAGTTGTATGACTTTCTGGGAAATGAGGCCAACCAAGAACGAAACCTAACAGCTGGGACTTTCATGAGACTCTCTCCTCCCAATATTGCTCCCGATTTTGGAACCAGACATGCACAGGAATCTCCCTGCGACGTTATCAGCTCAGCGCCAAAGAAGATGGTCTTTTTTTTCCTGTTTGAAAACCAAACAACCCGTGTTCTCCTTTGGGACAGAGCAAGCAGTAGGATGAGCCTGACGGGGTTTCTCCGACAGAAAGGGAGAGCATCTGGAAGCTGCTTTCCTTTCTCCTTCGTCTTATCCACCGGGCAGACGCACCTCCTGCGTTGACAACCACGTGACCTGGCCAAGGACGGGGAGGCTGACATTGGGTCTGATGGGAGGCATAGGAAGGAGACTTTCATCTGGACAGATCAGTGACCAGTGACTGCTGAGAAAGGACGAACAAGGGGAGGGAGCGCCCTCCTTGTTTTCTTAAAGCGTCTTTGAAGGAACTGGCCATCCCCGGGTTGCCCTCTGCCCTGCCCCGTCCCAGCTCCACAGACACGTGGGGAGCCCGTGGACACTCAGCAAACACCACACTGAAAACAAACAAATATGGGGCTCCCCAGAATAGGATGATTGGGGGACATCTGAGGGGAGCCCTCGCTCCCCTCAGATGAGTGGTAGTGGACACCCCCCAGACAGCCACCAAGAACTGGTTGTCCCCACCTCCCGTGAAAGCAAATGGTAAAGGCGTTCTCCCTGTGCTGCTGAGTGGTCCTCATGGGCTGTGTCTTCTCAGGAGCTGCAGGGGGACGGATCAGACCATGGAACCACTGGTACCCACCTCACAGGGTTGTCAGAAACCTTTGCTAAAACTTTGCACGCAAGACACACACAACACGTCTTAGTAGTGAGTGTTGGTGCGTCAGA